TCATATGAATGAATTGCAGACAATCTATTGCAGACCAACAGCTAATGCTAAAAGTTCATGCTATCATACATGATGGGCGAGCTAAAAATTAAAAAGACCAACAAAAAAACTTGTTTTCACTTTCTTAAAAATTACTTTAAAACCAAACACATGTATCTGAAATTTACAGAGGTCAAACAAGGCTTTGATTTTTAACATTGAGATACAAATTTGTTAACCTTTAAACAAATGTATACCAGTATTCTAATAACTATAAACTATTATTATTAAGCACACTAATTATTGATTGGTCCCTATACAAAACATATATTTACATTATAAAACAGATTATTGATGAATTCATCTCAAGAAACTCTATGTTAATGACTTTGTCCTAGTTTCAATTTAAGAGTGTCCATTATCAATGTCTGAGAAGTTAAAATGGAAGTAGATGTACATTTACTATTGAGAGACTAGACAGATGTTCAGGCCAGCTTGATGGTATATTGATGCTAATTGTCTGTGCACGGTATGCCAGCTAGCCTGGTATAGTGGTTAACAATGTCTAGTTCAAAATAAACAAGGTAGTCTGTGATACATTATTGCCAATGGCTTCTTAAAGATGTGTAGGATAATTTGGTGGTAAACTTGCTCAAGGGCTTGTACAAGATTTACAGACATTGACCCCAATGCCTTGTACAAGATGCTCAAGCTAGTCTGGTTGCAGAATTGTGCCCATGGCTTGTGCAAGATATTTAGGCTGGCCTGGTGGCACACTGTCTTGTGCCAATGGTTTGTGCAAGGTGTTCAGTGGCCTGGTGACAGTCTTGTACCAATGGCTTGTTCAAGATGTTCAGCCTGCCTGGTGTGGGGGGGGACTCAGGTGACATGACTTGTGCAAGATGTTCAGGTTAATCTGGTGGCACATTTTAGCCAATAGCTTTTTTTTCATGTGAAAATTGACTTCAGACATTGTGTATAAGGGTCATTTGTCTCTCACAGTTGTTAAGTCCTGTGGGAGAAATGAAAAATTACTGGTAAGTTATCAAGAAAAGCTGATTAAATGGACCAACTGCTCAGATTTGACCAGAAATGTTTTAAAATCTGCATAAAAAACAAACCAACAATCAGTGAAAATATATAAAAAAAGAATTTCACAGTGCAAAATTGCTCAATTTCAAGTACCATTTTCAGATAATAGTTAACATGCCCCTTTGGAGTATGTGGTGTTAAAATTCTATACAAATAGTGTTTATGAAGATATGAATATGTAGTTAATTCATCCATATAGCAAATGTGTATTTGTGCATATAAAACAATTGATGTATGTTTAGAAAAAATGTTTCAGTGCATCTAAATCTAAGCAAATAATGACTTCAGATAATACATCCACTTCAAATTCAAATTTTGTGGTAAATTCTTAAAATAGAGAAAAACAGAATCCTTTATTAGAATATGTTGTCTCATTATGTATAACATTTGTGCCAGGTTATTTGAAATTCCACCAGCTAGTGCTAGATTTATAGTGCGGACAAGCTGTTTGAGACCATTTTTTGCATTTGACCTTAAAGTAATACTTTGACCTTTGACCCAGCAGCACACCATCTCATGATGTTGAACATTTGTGCAAGGTAATTTGAAATTCTACCAGCTAGAGATAAGAGTTATGGTGCGGGCAAGCGGAGACCGTTTTTATGCATTTCACCTTATAGTATGACCTTGACCTTTGTCCTAGTCACTGTTCTTGTACATGACACACTGTCTCGTTATTGTGAACATTTGTGTGAAGTTATTTAAAAAACTTCTGTCTACTAATGACAGAGTTACAACCCGAGCAAGCATAATGTCTGGACAGTCTGTACAGATGTTCAGGCTAGCCTGGATTTATACTGCTTGTACAGGAAATTCACTATGACCTTTTGAACTCAAAGATATAAATGCCTAGTTACACTCTGATCTACATGCTTTCAGAAGAAAAAAAATCTGGCCTATAGAATCTACATACTTACACGGTGCCTATACCATGTGACTATTTGTGATCAAGTGGGGCAGAAAACCAATATAAAAAGATGGTCCAGGTTTATTTTCCACCATTACTTTTTGTAAATATTTCATTATTTCTTATAGCCACTTATTCTAGTGAGTAACACATATTGAATGTTTAAGGGGTAAAAAGTGGCTTTTTTACAGAAAGTGAAGCCATGTGTGTGAACAATCTGATATTTAACTATTTAACTTTACAAAAGAAAAGAAAACTTCAAAGGAGACATTATTTGTATTGGTTTTCATTAGAATTTGTGGGCTCTACACTTTTACTCTCATAAAATATACATGTCAGACTTTTTCATAGAGATTTTTGGGCGACTAGAATTTTGCCTCACCAGGGGGTCGAACGTATAGCGGTGCGATACTCCTTTAAGCGAGGTGAATTCATGTGATACGCCCTAATGGCGGACGGGAGCGAAAACGAAAGTGGGTATGAGCATGTTTTTTTCCAATTATTTAGTGTCTATTGTAATTTTTTTAAGAATAGCATTGTGCATGCTGATCAGAACTTATAATTGTGCATGATTGTCAAAATAAAATACTAAATTTTATAGAATTGAGGAAGTTATTGAGGTATTTGTTGCTGCAAATTCAACTGTCAACCTGATATGCACATGCAAACGAATAATGTAACAGTCGTTTTAAAACGAGATATTCGATTAGTTTAAGTCCCAACATGTTTAATTTTGAAAACAAAACGATATACAAGAGTAGTTTTCCATATCTATCCGAAAAAATATAAAATATTTCCAGTTTTCTTACTGTACGCCTAATATTTGGTCCGATAAACCAACTGTACGCACAAATGTTGGTTTGTTTTTCTGTAGCAACTTCCTCATTACACTACATTCTTATTCAATTTTGATGAAATATCAAGTTTTGAGTTTGTATGTTAATCATATGAAAACCACAGTGTCAATTAAAACAACAGTGTCAATTAATGTATTATACTATGATATAGTTAATTTAAATGTTTTTTTCTCACAGAGGTTAATCATTAAAATGAGATAAGTTATGCACAGAAATTTGAAATTCTATCAAGTAATCAATAGTCACGATAATATTCGTTTTGTTTTTTCCATTTATTTTTTTTTTGCAATGGAACTTGAAATTTATATATAAAAAAACTGGTTTGATTTCCTCTATGGATTGGATGTTATATATTATATACAGAGCACATCATTGTATTTCAGTTATTCTGATGTTTGTCATTAGCTCTGTCGCTTTGAATATATAACTATACTACTCCATAACCAGTGTATACCAAACAGCTTTGTGTATTTGCTTATGAAAGCATTCATACTTTTAGTGATTTAACCTATCTGCCAGTAGTTTTACTTTTAAAACTAGGCTTTCTCTGCAACATTTAATGTATAGCATCACCCCTCACTTTTTTGTAAATATTCATTTCCACTAGGAGTTACTCTTATTGTTAAAGCAAGTGTACCAAGAGATTTGTACTGTTACAGGCCAGCAGCACTTTTTAACAGTATAAAATCTGGGCAAGTGTTTTTATGTAAATAAAAGTATTATAGATTACAGTATCTGTTCGGGAAATAAAATAAATAACACACAAGCGTTTGTGAGAAACAGAAAAAAATATCAACCCTCCTAAAAATACTGTTTCCCTCGGCTAACACCTTGGCTAACAGTATTTTCCTTGGGATGATATTTTAACTGTAACCCACAAACCCATGTGTTATTTATATACTACTCCATAAGCAGTGTGACTCAATCTAGTATTATATACTCAAAAGCTTTTTGTTTATTTGCACATGTGTCAGCATTTGTACTTGTGGTACTTTACCTATCTGGCAGTAGTTTTGTTTGTTAATCAATTTGTAATGTTTTAATTGCTCTGCAACATTTACAACTGTGTATTTGCACATGTGAGCATCAGCTGTTCCTAAGAAAGACACTGAGCTGTTTGGTGTCCAATGACTGACTGAATTTTGAAATTGTAGTTTTGTGTTTTTTCCTGACAGGCCACAATTATGTGCACTACAAAAATAGCCTGTTCTAAGCAACATTTTAGAAAAGAATTTTACCACCTAAAGATTTTTACCACCTGGTTCTCAGTCTCTATCTCTAGAACAGCAGTGAAATGTACTTTCACTGTATTTTATAGGTTGTTTGAAATGTTCAATTCTATTTATAATATGAAAAAATATCAGTTTGACAGCAGCATGTACAAACGATCTTAGAACCTCATGAAGTAAAACAGCCCTTATATAACATACATGTATTAACTGCTATTTTTCTGAAATGTTCTGCTTTGAAAGTGAGTTAATTTATACAAGATTTCTTAATAGGTTTCTAAAATTCATTCTTACATATTTTGGTCAAATTCCTTCTCGTATAGATGGTTATACAAAACTTTAATTTCAAGTAAATCTTTAAGGAAAGAAGAAGATTTCAGAATTCCGGATACGGGCAAATATATGGTAGACATCTTAGTATAATCATAGGAAAACATGTACAGCAGATGTGATAATGAAAAATATCGAACCTTTAACAGCGTACAGTTATTTTATCGCACCAAAATCCAGCGTACACATAAATATTTTGACCAGTAAGCGTCTATGTATATCGGAGCACAAAAGTACTTGCTATGCAACTCAATTATGATTACTCTTATAGAATAAAGAAGAAAAAGAAATTAACTATATTAATATAAGCTTGCATTAAGCGATTTTATTCACCGACCCAAAATTAGTTGCCGTCAGTTTACCTTCAATAACTTTTTTAGTTATGAATTTAGGCCTCTGTAATTTTGATGAAATGTGTGTTGGTCCTATCTTCACATCCTCAATACAAAATATGCAATTGTAATCGAAGATTTATGAAATACTTAATAAAAAAACACTCACTCTGACGTGTGTTTACACAGGTAAATCCGCCATTAGGGCGTATCGCATGAAATCACCTCGCTTAAAGGAGTATCGCACCGCTATACGTTCGACCCCCTGCTCACTGGTTAAACAGGGTGAAGTGGAAATATTTTCGGCGAATTTTTTTACCTGACTTTGCCCTAAAAACAGTCCCTGATTGAAAAAGTTAAGGCAGAAAATAAAATCTTGACCGTCTTTTGTATTGATATTCTGCTTCATGCAGATCACAAAAAGTCACACGGTATAGTCACATGACTAAAATAATGCTGCAAATTGTTTGTGAAAATTAAACTATAATGCTGAAATTGTGCACAATAATCAAATACAAAATCTTATATCAATTAACTAACATCATTTCCTATTAAAATATCAAAACTTAACAAAAATTGAATAAATACAAAATTACTTCAATAACATTTTTTTTTCTAAATTAATTCATCATTACATTATTCTAACATTATTTCATATTTTGTTAATCAAAGTAATATTTTGTTACTTAAATGTGAACAAGGACAAATCAAATTAGTTTAAATATTTGTCTGTATGTAATTTAAATTTACCAGGCTACTGATTAAAGTAGACTCCACTGACATTTTTTCACACATGATGGGACTGGAAATATTTTTCCGAGATTTGTGTACATTTGATGTAGGTCTGGACCAATATGTTGTTGGCAGACTTTTAGATCATTCTTCCATCAGAATAATAATTTATATTATGCAAAATGACCCAAAAATGAAAAGCATAATGTGAACAGTGCTTTTCACTTAAAGCAGGCTAAATATTTCACAAAAAAAATAAATATTCAATTTAATTCTGAGTATATTTCTTCCTTATTCTTCACAATTTTTTTCCATTTTAAGTGTTTCACTTGACCTATGTCAGACTTTTGAATGTTATGTTTTTAGTCTTTTTGACCTCAGTGGAGCTCCTTTAAATGACCTTGACATAAGATATTCAGTGAGCTAATAGTTATATAGATTATGCATGCAACATTTCCTTCAAGTAAACTAAATTCATGGTGAAAATAAAACATTGTCACTGTGTTTTTTAATCATTATAACAATTACTTCTTTTTTTCTCTACATTAACTACTTTATATATATCTGGGAATGTTAAATGGATTGAAGATCTCTATGACAACTAAGATGAATATATTCTACACTGATGCCAGACTGGAAGTTTCGGACAACTTACAACTCCACGACTTTTAACAGTTAAACGGGAGCCTTCCCTTTCTAATGAGCACAGATTTCACACTAAGATCACATTTATAACAAGTATAGACCTGATGATGTGTTGATTTCATGATTCTAGTGCTGTTTTAATAAACTACTTTTATTTCAACACTGCTATACTGTCGTGTTTTTTGTTCTATGAATGTTTTCTCCTTCTATTTCTACAGATATGTTTGCTGATTGGTCAGTTTCATCATGTGACAATAGTCTGTCATCACTTGATTGGTCATGTGACCTATGTCTCTGGTCATGTGATACACCATGTGACTGTATAGTCTGGGACTGAGGCTCCTTTTGTTCGTTACATAACAATCCGTCATCTGAATCGTAGTTAACGTCCTCGTCCTCGAGAAGATCTTGTGTCACGATTGGATCATTCGACTCACTTTCGTGATCACAAGACAAGTCAAAATTTCTCTGACAGAGGATCGCAGGCTATACTCTGCGGAAAGTCATCACAAGTTGGATCTTCAGACACCGTTGTTAGCTGAGTGTCATCTTCACATAAAGGAGTTTCAGAAGGGCTAACATTAATTTGTTTCACTTGCTCTGATTGGTCAATGTAAGGAGACCTGGAGTCAATTTGTGAAAAGGAATCTGACTGGCTGAGATTAAGGAATGGCGTTGTTGATTGGCTGCTGAATGGTGCACTGCCCCCTGTGGAGGCGGGAACAAGAGATGGGGTGGTGTCACCTGATCTACGTTGCCATGGTGAGTCACAACTCATGTCTCCCTCATTGCCAGGTTTTACCTACAAATAATCCAACAAAATATTTTGTTATTACTGTATGTATATTCTCAATAAAAAATTGAATAATATTTTGATAAGGCAAAAAAAGAATTATGGCTGCAAGCTTACTAAGCATAACACAGTCAATGTAAATAAAAGAACTACTTTTTTCCATGCTTACATACCAGTCCTTACATTTATTCAAATAAAATATATACAATGAAATAAATGTTTCACCATTTACAACATGTGCACTCCATACAAAATCTTTTATTCTACAAAAGTAACAGATACCCTTCAGAATTTTGCTCTGCTACTAGGTGTTTTCAAAGTCATAAACCATTTTTGAACTATATACAAATCAGTGGACACAGCAGTGGCAAAGAAATTGACTAAATCATACAAGAGGGCAATGATGGCCCTGAGGTCGCTCACCTGTATATAGCCCCCCCCCCCCCCAGGCCAATTTTTTCCCAAGGGCTTTTATTTCTTTATTTGAACAAACTTTGTAGATACCCATAAGAAGATGTTTCATGCTAAACATCTAAGTTCTAGCTCATTGGGTTTTTTAAAAGAAGATTTTTTAAGTTTTTACTATACACATATAGTTAAAAACAATGACACCCCTGGGGCAGGGCCAGTTTTGACCCCTGGGCTTTTATTTGAACAAACTTTGTAGATATTTACTTAAAGATGTTTTATGCTTAATATCTAAACTCTAGCTATTTGGGTTTTTTCAAAGAAGATTTTTAAGTTTTTGCTATACACATATAAGGAAAATCAATGACCCCCGGGGCTGGGCCAGTTTTGACCCCAGGGCTTTTATTTGAACATACTTGGTAGACACCCATTAGAACATGTTTCATGCTAAATATCTTAGCTCTAGCTCTTTGGGTTCTTTAAAAGAAGATTTTTTAAGTTTTTACTATATGCATATAGGGAAAATCAATGACCCCCGGGGCGGGGCCAATTTTGACCCCAGGGTTTTTATTTGAATAAACTTGGTAGACACTCACTAGAAGATGTTTCATGCCAAATATCTTAGCTCTAGCTCTTTGGGTTCTTTAAAAGAAGATTTTTTAAGTTTTTACTATATGCATATAGGGAAAATCAATGACCCCCTGGGGCAGGGCCAATTTTGACCCCAGGGCTTTTATTTGAACAAACTTGGTAGACATTCACTAGAAGATGTTTCATGCCAAATATCTAAGCTCTAGCTCTTACAGTTCTTTAAAAGAAGATTTTTTAAGTTTTTACTATATGCATATAGGGAAAATCAATGACCCCCCGGGGCAGGGCCAATTTTGACCCCAGGGCTTTTATTTGAACAAACTTGGTAGACACTCACTAGAAGATGTTTCATGCCAAATATCTTAGCTCTAGCTCTTTGGGTTCTTTAAAAGAAGATTTTTTAAGTTTTTACTATATGCATATAGGGAAAATCAATAAAATTCTTTGAACAATTTTTAAAGGTGATCACCAAAGGAACATTCCTGTGAAGTTTGGATGAAATTGGCTCAGTGGTTTATGAGGAGATGTCATTTAAAGCAAAAGTTTACGGACGGACGACGGACTATGGACGAAAAGCGATCACAAAAGCTCACCCTGTCACTTTGTGACAGGTGAGCTAAAAAAACAACAAATACATTAAACTGATTCAAATTCAAAAATAGATCTATTTCTAAATAACCATAAAGATTTTGTATTTCTTATGAATTCAATAAATAAAGCTCCAACTATTTAGGGCTAAAACATCTTCTACTTTACATTTTATTTCTCCTTAAAATAAACATCGTTTAACCTTAAATCTAAAACCATTTATAGTTGGTAACTAATTTTCGTTACTTTTTTTATATAAGTCCCTTTAAATTTGAATGCAATGTCCCTAGGCTGTCATTGATGGAAAATTTTGTATTGATATATCGAGAGACAAATATCGACGATATATCGATATATTGACATTGACAGTAATGCAATGAAAAACAATTACAATGTAAATGTATATCATAAATTGTGATTATGGTGTTATGCATGCTTCTATAAGACATTATGAATACTTCAAACTAACAGAAAGTTTGTTTTTTCTGTTATTTTTGTCACTGACATTTGAAAATGGAGTTTAAAGTACTAGAAAAAGTGACTTCTCTTATTAGGCAAATAAGAGAGGTATATTAAATTACAGAATTAATTTTTTTAAAGCTTAGTGTATTGATATCTGGAAGTGTGTATTGATATTGTATTGGATGGTGAAAATCGATGATACATCGATATTGCAATATTCAATGACAGCCCTAATTGTCCCCAAAAAAAAGGGACTATTCCATACTACAATTAAAGCAGATTGCAGGTTTTTAAGATCAGAGAAAATCACTGTTCAATTATGAGAATCAAACATGTTTAGAATACAACAGACCTGAACTAGGGGTGAATTATCACAACAATCCTCGTCTTCTTCATCGATACACTGTGTGTAGGAGTAAGGTCTGCCCTCAGACCCCGCCCCCTGTAAGGCCTCGCCCTTGTGGCCTGCCTCCTCAACTTGTGTGTTAGATTGAGCTTGATGTTGAAGTATAGACAGTATCATAGTTATATCTGAACTCAGCTTCTGTTCTAATCTTGTCAGCTGCCTGAAGAGAGCAAGTAAATACATTGTTTTATGATGATGATGGAATAAAAATAAACATGAAAAACTTTTTTTCCATAATAATCATGAACTCTTTACTTTTTGTTGAAGTTTAAGTCACACCAACTATGTCACTGTCAAAATTATGGTGACTTACCACATTTAGTGGTTGAATATGATCTCTGGTGCAAAGAACCATAACTATTAATAAACAGCTGGAAATCTTCCTCAAATAAAAGAGTTTGAAGTTTCTGGCAAGAATTGAATTCACGATAATGAAGGGCAATTACTTTCATGGGAATAAGATTTACCGCTTGGCCACTGACTCAATCTGAGACAAGAGCACCGCTAGGCGGAGCATTATATGCCCGAAAGTATTTTTTTTTTTAGTAAGGATGACCTTAACCGTTGACCTTTTGACCCCAAAATCAATAGGAGTCTTCTACCCAATATGGACAATCATCCTATGAAGTTTGAACATTGTGGGCCACATGGAACTTAACATATGCTCCGGCAACTGTTTTCAGTATCAAGGTAATAGTGACCTTCACCTTTGACCTTTTGACCCCAAAATCAACAGGGGTCTTCTACCCAATATGGACAATCATCCTATGAAGTTTGAACATTGTGGGTCAAATGGAACTTAAGTTATGCGTGGAAACATATTTTTCAGTATCAATGTAATAGTGACCTTCACCTTTGACCTTGTGACCCCAAAATCAATAGGGGTCTTCTACCCAATATGGACAATCATCCTATGAAGTTTGAACATTGTGGGTCGAATGGAACTTAAGTTATGCTCTGGAAACTGTTTTCAGTTATAAGGTAATAGTGACCTTGACCTTTGACCTTTTGACCCCAAAATCAATAGGGGTCTTCTACCCAATATGGACAATCATCCTATGTAGTTTGAACATTGTGGGCCAATTGGAACTTAAGTTATGCTCCGGAAACTGTTTTCAGTATCAAGGTCATAGTGACCTTGACCTTTGACCTTGTGACCCAAAAATCAATAGGGGTCTTCTTCCCAATATGGACAATCATCCTATGAAGTTTGAACATTGTGGGTCGAATGGAACTTGAGTTATGCTCCGGAAACCGTTTTCAGTTTTAAGGTCATAGTGACCTTGACCTTTTGACCCCAAAATCAATAGGGGTCTTCTACCCAATATGGACAATCATCCTATGAAGTTTGAACATTGTGGGCCAAATGGAACTTAAGTTATGCTCCGGAAACCAAATTGCTAACGGACGGACGGACGTACGGACGGACGGACAGACGGACGCCAGGGGGTATAACATAATATGCCCTTTCGGGCATATAATAAAACATTGTTTTTTTTATCATCAGTGTAACTAATTTGTGAGAACATTTTAATACTCTATCAAATTCGATCCAACCGTCTAATAAATAATAACAAAAATATTCTGCTGTTTTCATCAGATTCAACACTAACAAAATTATTAGGGTCCTCTGCTGCTCTAACCTTTAACCTCTTACCTCAAAAGATGATGGTTTATTTACAACAACAGTATATTAGCTAGTTGGAGAATCATACACATAGAGTATAATGCATACCTATGGAAAATAACTCTGTAAGTAATATTTTTGAAGGCTATCTTTTTAGAATGAGTTGTTTCCTTTAGTAACATGGTCATAGGATTATAAAACTTTTATGATGATAAAATCGCAAAATAAATAAAGCATAAAGAATGTCATACCTAGACATCATTTCTATTCTCTTCTCTACATCCCCGGAACCTTGTGCCTGGTGGTCACCCTCTGTTGAGTGGACCGAGACGCGAGCTCCAACAACACCATCTTCAAACTGGGAATGACTGGAGGGAGTTGATAGGGGCAATGTCATGCTGGACGTGGATTTTGGAACACTTGAACTTGATGTAGCTTTTGGCTGAAAATATATATCAATCATTCTGTTACATTAAAAGCACATTAAGATTCAGAAGTAAATATGATTTTTTTCCTCTGAAGGAAATGCAAACCTGTTCTTTATGATGTTTTTATAATGGATTTATAGCATTTTTCATGCTAATCAGGTAATTCATGGCATTCAATGTAAAATAATTTGTCATGAAAATTATTGCAAACAGTACAAAGTGGTATTTTCATCTTTCTTATAAAATACTAAAACATCATATATTTACTAACTGTTAACAGTCTATAAGCAAAAATGGTTCAGCCCTATGACCCATTTCGTTGTTTCATTTTCCTTTTCTCAAAGCAAATTACTTGAATCAGCAAATAAGGCTAAACAATTTTTTTTTTCAACTTATTGCCAACAAGCACAAATGGCAAGCTTAAATTCAAACTGATGCACACAGTGTTCTTAAGTCAAAATAACATTTTCTCCTTTTTTGAAAAAACTCTTACCGCACTAAATATTCTTAAAGGACTTTTCAATCCGGACAAAACCATTCATCATTTATAGGGAAAACTTTAAAATAAGTACTGCCTAAATAGCAAACAGTACGGATTATGATCAGATAGCTTGGATGTGCCAGCTGATCTTGGTCTTCCCTGGTCACATTGGTAGATTCAGTCACTGGCAGCTGGCTACAGTCTACAGATTAATTATAAGGTATTTTGTTTAAATATTACATGCATACCTGTATTTCTGGTGTGACAGATTCCTGTAACAGTGGGGCTTTATCTGTGTCCTTATTTGGATCTCGACAACTTGAGAAATTAACAAGTTGATTAACACTTGTTAAAGCACCTGAAAACCAATAAATTATGCTAAATGATAATTAATGAAATGCAGAGTTCAGTCTAGTGTAACCAGAATTTTGATTGGTCAATGTACATTCTTTACCAGTTTCTGACCAATTAAATACCTGTGAACTGGGTGTGAGATAAGAAAATATCTTTATAACCTCGGACTTGGCTACTTTAAGGTCATGTCCAGATGGTTGTTGCGTCCAAGTATGAAGATAATCAATTGAGAAATTGAAAAATTATTAACATATTTAAGGTATGGTCATGGGCACATCATGACTGAAAAAAGTTTTTTTTTTGAAAAAGTCCTGCTAAAAAATAAATTCTTTTTCAATGAAATAAATTATGAATCATTTTCTTCTGTATTGACCAACCTAATCAATGACATTGTGGCTTTGAGAAAGAAAGACCACTCTAGTAAACAAATCTGTAATAGCATTTATGTAAAGAAATCTTATAATAAATGTCAACAGCTGACATTGTTACACATACCAGTGATTGTAGAGAACCCGGTCGATCTTTTCCTCTCATTTTCGTTCGAGCCGTGATGATGATGATGGTGGTGATGATGTACGGGACCAAAATCGAGATTAGCCGGAGTTACATCCATACCGGCTTTCAAGGGAGAGAATTCTAGTATTCCTACGCCACTCTGCCGCAAATCCTCGTCGGATGTGTCCTCAAATGACATTGAAACTGTCGGACCAGGCTCGACACTTCGACGCATTCTACGAACACGTCTTGGCCGGAAATGATAGTTCTCATTTTCATCATCTAAATAAAAGTATATTGCTTATTTTTTGACATTTACTGTATTGTGACTAAATAATAAATGCTAAATGATTTATTGTTTTCTTTTCAAAACATTTTCTTACTAAAGAAATAGTGCAAGATGAATTGTACATAACTGATAAAATGGCTTAAGAAGTTATCAAATATTAGCAGAAATGAACACATCATATAACATAATTTCAAAAATCTTTTGCATAATTTGTTACTAAATTAACTTGCCATATATTTGGATAAGTTCATCAATATTTTCATGATCAAAATGTCAAACTTTTGCGAAATTTGTTACTAAATTTACTAGTCACAGTGATGCTTTTAAGTCTTGGATAGGTTCTTCAACATTTTCAGAATCAAAATATCAAAACTAAGAAGCTATAAGGTTCTGGTTTTGACTGTCTGCTAGCCTAAATTAGTGGATAAGGTATACCCACAAATAAAGACCGATAACAGACTGATACTAGTTTGAAAGTTTTTCCTTGGAATAAAAGTTAAAAGTTATAATATACAGTAGAACTTCTATGAGTCGAACTTCGATTAGTCGATTTTCTCGATGTGTCCAAGTAAAATGAAAGTCCCGATTTTTTCCCCTTATAAAAACCTATTTATGAGTGGAAATTTTATGTGTCGAATTTTTCGATGGGTCGAAATTTTGTTATGAAATTGAGACCGATTCATGAGTCGCAGTCCTCATGTGTCGAAGTTTAAACGCAAGTTCCTTCAACTTCGACTCACCTAAGTTCTACTGTAGTAACAAGAGCCATGTCAACATGGCCATCCCCCGCCGAATGTGTTTGCTCATTGGAAGAATGTATATGTAGTAGAACAGAATAATTTCATTTTAAGAGGTCTTTTGGTAATGAAAACTGATGGCTATAGTGATTACAGATTTGAAACCTATGTGAATACTGATGGCTGAAAATAACAAAGGGCAATAACTGAAAAATAATGCAGGGTAGGTTATCATTCTTGTGTGCTGCATCCCTCCTCAGTAAAATCTATCCACCTATGAAGTTTCAAGTTGATACCTCAAATACTTTTTGAGAAAAAAATTGAATTGAAATATTAAGTATGAAAAATAACAAAGGGCAATAAATCAAAAATTATGAAAGGTAGAGTTATCATTCTTGTGCAGTGCACACCTCCTGAGTGAGATCTATGCACCTATGAAGTTTCATTTTGATATCTCAAAGGCTTTTTGAGTTATGCTCTGGACAAAAATTAATTTTGAAAAATAACAAAGGGCAATAACTCAAAAATAATGCAGGGTAGAGTTATCATTCTTAAGCACTGCACTCCTCCTCAATGAGATCCATATACCTTTGAAGTTTCAAGTTGATACCTCAAATACTTTTTGAGATAAGCTCTGGACAAAATAGCATGAAAAAAAACAAAGGGCAATAACTCAAAAATTGTATAGGGAAGAGTTATCATTCTTGCGCATAACATTCCTCCTCAATAAGATCTATCCACCTATGACATTTCATGTTGATATCTCAAACACTTTTTGAGTTATGCTCCACTCAGGTGAAAAATTAGGTATGAAAAATAACAAAGGGCAATTACTCAAAAATTATGAAAGGTAGAGTTATCATTCATGTGCACTGCACACCTCCTGAGTGAGATCTATGCAGCTATGAAGTTTCATGTTAATATCTCATAGGCTTTTGGAGTTATGCTCTGGACAAAAATCAATTTTGAAAAATAACAAAGGGCAATAACTCAAAAATCATACAAGATAGAGTTATCATTCTTGTGCACTGCACTCCTCCTCAATGAGGTCTATCCACATATAACATTCCTCCTCAATAAGATCTATCCACCTATGACATTTCATGTTGATATCTCAAACACTTTTTGAGTTATGCTCCACTCAGGTGAAAAATTAGGTATGAAAATTAACAAAGGGCAATAACTCAAAAATTATGAAAGGTAGAGTTATCATTCATGTGCACTGCACACCTCCTGAGTGAGATCTATGCACCTATGAAGTTTCATGTTAATATCTCATAGGCTTTTGGAGTTATGCTCTGGACAAAAATCAATTTTGAAAAATAACAAAGAGCAATAACTCAAAAATCATGCAAGGTAGAGTTATCATTCTTGTGCACTGCACTCCTCCTCAATGAGGTCTATCCACCTATGAAGTTTCAAGTTGATAACTCAAATACTTTTAGAGATATGCTCCGGACAAAAATGTCGGACGGAAGGACGGACGGTCGGACGGAAGGAGACTATTTCTATATCCTCCGCCGAAAATTTCCTCCGCCGAAAATTTTCGACGGGGGATAATAAAGAGGGACAAAGAAATGACATACCTGCAGGTTCAATATTGGACTTTGTTTTAGCCCTACGTTTTCGTAGATTACGAGGTTTTGGCTCAGCTTCTTCTTCATCAGTTCCACGTCCTATCCAGAATGACGACAAGTGCCCCTCATCATCGCCCGCCAAGGTTTTCTGTGTAATTGGATCAGGAACATGTCTTTTTAGAGAATTTCTTTTGACGAACCATTGAATATATAACTAGTCAATTGTAAAATACACCAGTAGACTGAGGTATTGTTTGGTAAAGCATTGCAAAGATCATTGTATTGCTTTACATTTTTTCCAACCATGTGACATTTTTTATGTATTGTGACCTTCTTACTATGAGTTTAAGTGTATTGTATTATTGTATTGTGTAAAACTCTATGTCAAATGGCATATTTTTCTAGAAGTAAGTGGTATTCAACAATGACTCATTACATATGTCATGTCTTCTTTAGTGCTTATTTTACTCCACTCACAATATATACATCTAATATGCATTTCATACGATATACAAAAGGGTTTTGCCAGAAGTTATACAAAATGGTTGGTTCAAAAAGTTAAAGAAAAAAGGTTGGGACCAAAATTAGCTTAACATTATCAGCTGCAATTCTCTGAACATAAAAACATGCTGTCAATAACTGCACACATGATTTACTTTAGATCAAAAATACTTTCTTACATGTGTGTGCAAGAAAATAATTCAAAAATCTCTTTTTCTGTCAACACCAATGGACTGATTTATAACTGTAACATTATTCTGATTTTTACTACAACCAAAATTCATATTTAATCAACTGATAAAAGGGCTTTGTGTATTCAAATGGTTAAAAATAAAGAATCTAGCCTTACATCTCTAAGGTCAAAGGTGACTTCAAGGTTTTTCACAAACTGTTCAGCAAATTCGGGATACATATCAAGTATCTCGAGGAGATCATCTCTGTGTATCTTGTGAAGATCACAATATGTCAGTGCTCGGACATTACAGCTTGATTTACCCACCGTGTCATATTTACATATATTCTCTCCAAACACGTCATCCTTCCCTGAAAAATATCATAAATATTTTTATGTTTGCATCTTTGCAGGTAAAATGTTCAGTTTTTTATCTAGTTGGGTTTTTAGGTGACACCAAAATTGTTTTATCTAGTTGGGTTTTTTAGGTGACACCAACATTGTTTTATCTAGTTGGGTTTTTAGGTGACACCAACATTGTTTTATCTAGTTGGGTTTTTAGGTGACACCAACATTGTTGAGGTCTTTTGGGAACTTCCTAGCTTTATTGGTGGAGAGAGATCTCTCTGCATATTATTTCTGGCCTAGCAGACCCTTGAGTAGCTAACCAAGTAGCTAGCAGACCCCTGAGTAGCTAACCAAGAAGCTTTCAGGCAGCTGAGTAGCTGGCAGGCACCTGAGTAGCTTGTAGGCACCTGAGTAGCTGGCAGGCACCTGAGTAGCTTGTAGGCACCTGAGTAGCTGGCAGGCACCTGAGTAGCTTGAAGGCACCTGAGTAGCTGGCAGGCACCTGAGTAGCTTGTAGGCACCTGAGTAGCTGGCAGGCACCTGAGTAGCTTGTAGGCACCTGAGTAGCTGGCAGGCACCTGAGTAGCTTGTAGAAAATCTGAGTAGCTAGTAGGCACCTGAGTAGCTTGTAGGCACCTGAGTAGCTTGTAGGCACCTGAGTAGCTGGCAGGCACCTGAGTAGCTTGTAGGCACCTGAGTAGCTTGTAGGCACCTGAGTAGCTTGTAGGCACTGAGTAGCTAGCAGGCATCTGAGTAGCTAGCAGGCACCTGAGTAGCTTGTAGGCACCTGAGTAGCTTGTAGGCACCTGAGTAGCTTGTAGAAATCTGAGTAGCTAGTAGGCACCTGACTTAGCTAGCAAGCATCTGAGAAGCTAAGACACCTGAGTAGCTTGCAAGAAATTTGAGTGGGTAACCTGGGTAGCTTGTAGGCACCTTAGTAGCTACTAGACACCAGAGTAGCTGGCAGGCATCTGAGTAGCTAGCATGCACCTAAGGGTAGCCAGTAGGCACCTTAGTAGCTAGCAAACACCTGAGTAGCTAGAAGGCACCTGTGAAGCAAGTCATTGGTAGGCAGCGCAGTAACTGGTAGGCGGTGGAATAGGAAGTAGGCGCCAGAGTAGCTTGTAGGCACTTGAGTAGAACCACAACCATCTGTTCAAGGTAGCTGTATAGTTTCTTTAAATAAAAGAATCCAAAAATCAGTTAAAGAGTTGAAGCCATAGTGGTGAGAGAGAAAAGTGATCAAGTATTTGTGACAATACCTACCCAATAAAACAATATAAGAAAGATCTAGCTATACATGTCTTAAATAGAGATGATACTAGAAGTTTTGAATATGCAATATGCAGTTTCATAGCACAAAGAGAAATGACGCTTAAACAAGCAGATTTTACAGCAGATATAAATACATGTAACAGTGTATTTTCTAATAATACAAAATGAAAATAATGCAACATTTTTAGACATTTTATCTATAAAGAGGATTGTAAAGATAAGTTTTTTTATAAGCAATTAATGCAAACATAAGAAAATTCAAGATAACAGGAAATTTTGAAATCTGAAGTAAATGAATACTAAAAAAGAAAATAAGGAGAAAAAAAGATAAAATGTATAAGATTAACTGATGAATAGTTCTAAGAAGAAAGTAAATGGAAGAATTGTGTTTTGTTCCTGATATATAATGTTACATTCTTCATATCAAACTAAATTACTATACAGAATATTGTCATCTACATTTATACAATATCTATATTATAATAGTATATAATATGGAATGACATCTATAACATCAAAGGAAAGATAAAAGCATATACACTAATATACATGTATATATACACTTAGAAATCAGTATGTACATAATGTTAATGTATATTAACATATTATGTAACACTTTCAAACATGCAAGAAGAAAGATTATTAAGGAATGAAATAGATCATGCTTAATCTATGCATGCCAATATAGTTGAAATTTTCATACAATAAAAAAATTAAATAAATGTGAATCCTCCCTCCTGCCTCCCACTTTTCCTTCTTCCCCCCTCCCCCTCCCAACTGCCCACATACTTTTCATTCTTCAATTTTATGTACAGAAAGCTAAAAAGAAATGGGATAAAAAGCAGCAAGAACATTTTCATAGACCTACTATCTTTATGTTTACATATGACTCAAACACTGGTCAACTTAAAAAAGCTTGGTCATAAAAGCATACATGAAGGCAACATGAAAATTTGGAAAAGTGATTTCAAAAATATCAAAGACATTTATCAGTCTTTTTACACCTATATAAAGTGCTATCTCAGAAATATGTCTGAAAAAAAAATGTGCTTGTAGACAGAAAAAAAATCTATTGATACAATAGGCAAATACATAGCGAATGGCATATCTTAAATTGCAGAAGGCTGTACAGGCTCTGGTTAGCTGACCAAAATAAATGCATACTCAGGATATTAGTGACTAAATTTAGCTGTTTATTAAGCTGCTTTAAATCTTTAAGAGTATGAAGAATTTTCATAATTTTCCCACTTGATTCATATATTTATGTACAACATTTCACACTTAAGCAAGATTTTCATTAATGTGGAAATATCGCTCACCCATCTATTACTAAGAAAATCATTGAAACCCAATGACCACTCTTACAAAATATTATATGTTCTAAGAGAAAACAGTCAGAAAAATTACAAAATCTCTGCTCATAAAAGATGACCTAAATTTTGGAAAGATATTTTAATTTTGACCTTTTGACCTAAATTTCAGACAAATGACTTCAATTGCACTTTATCTAACAACTTTAAACTTTCTGTGAGAAAACTTCAAATTTCTAAACCTTTGTGACCAACTTAAATCTGAAAAAGGCTATCACCATTTGTAATTTAAAGAGAAATTGGGGCACCAATCACCAAAGTAGAGACATTTTTATACTAAATGGGATTAATACTTTAAAGACACAAAGTTTCAGAATAGTATTACCAGTACAAAGTTAAAACCATGACCCAAGTTAATACATACATCCTGTAACATGACCCTAGTGTCAATTTTGACCTCGACCCACATTCTGAAATTCTAAAGAAGAATTTGACAGAGGGATATCTTAATTTCACCCAATCAACCTAGTGTCAACTTTGACCTTTACCTTAACCTATAGACACCTTCTGATATTCTAAAGATGACCTTGACATGTTATTTTTACCCAATGAATAGACAACACACAATGCTTGACACAGGATAAAATCTGATAGCTCATCGTCAGTAAGGTTTCTCCAGACAAGCTTTGAAGTCAACCCTGTGATCTTTTATTTATATTGCCGGTGTTTTTATACATGCTACACAAAACTGAATAAATACCTTTAGTATCATCTTCTTGTCCCGCTAAAACAGATATATAGATACAGATATACATATATATAGAACAACCATAATCTATTTATACATCATATAGACAGTGTATAGTCCATTCCAATTTGACCTTCATATGACCTTCAATATAAAGGTCAAACAAACACTTATTTAATCAGAAGCAAAAATATGGTTATTCTGAGCAATAAGAGGCTCTGTATACATTTTATGAAAGATTTGTTACTGAATAATAGAAAGGTTAATCAAATATCTCTTTAGGAGTATGCCTATGTAATGACCTTGGTCAAAAACATGTGACCTTTAGGAGAAAGGTCAACTTGGAATGGACTAAAATTACAGGTGGTCTCAATTCAAGATGACAAGTCTTTAGAAATATACATCTTGCAAGAGTTTTCTTACAAAAAATAAACAATCATTGGCATTCACAGTTGAATTTTCTAAAAGATCTATGTTTGAATTTATAGTAACATCAAGCAAATGTTTGGCATTTTAAAAGGAGACCTAGATATAAAGCTCTCATTGTATAAAAGCATGCAAGAGACAATATGAGGCTGCAGAGACTGTACGTATATTTCCTGGATGTGGAGTTTTATTTCTAAAATCTATTTGTGAATGCACACACTCTTATAACAGGTCTATACCATTTATCTTGTATATAGGTCATTGAAGGTCAAGATATGACCTTTTACTTATTGCTATGATACATTGCAGGGGAGTAAAAAGGGCATAAGCTGCAGATAGGTTTATGTCTATAAGAAAAGAGCATAGCATAGCAACATAATTTTGGCAGTGTGTTTTCACAAATTTGACTAATGAAAGCTGTGCAAACTTGAAACAAAAGCTAGACTCACTGCAACTAGTAATGCATGTAGTTAGAATTCACTTTAGTTGTATAAAACAATACATATAACAGGACACAAAGAGAATTAAATAGAGACAAATTAATTTTATCACCTTTTACAAAGTCTCATTTAATTAAGTATGCTTAATTTTTAGGAAAATACTTGAATTGCATAAGTTCCTTTGCAATCAAACTAATGTAGACATAGACATATTATCTTGTTTGTGGTTAAGAGCTGAATGGTACTGCAAAATAAATGAATGTGCTATGTCTAGGGATCTTTTGTTCTGACCATTTTTCCTTAATTCTATAAGAAATTATCTTTTCAAAATAAATTGACAACCATTTTTTCTGGAGGTTACACACTGATATAGTTAATAAAGCTATTCAAATATGAAATAATAATACAAATTTTTCATCTAAGATTTATGCAAGACCATATACGAATATTTGTTATATGAAGATAATGATGATAACGATGACTAGGATGATGATAATAGGGTTGATAATGTTTGACTAGTATCCAGCTAAAATTCATGCAAGTCTATTAACATCATCACCAATAATTGCTGGTTATGATGAAGAACTTAATAACTTCGATAAATTCAAAGATTTTATTTTGACAGTATTTAGCAAAAAGTGCAGTTTTTAAGTCAAAATAAAAACCCCGGTCTTATAACTGGCCTGTCTTATAGGCAAGTAAATATGGTAGTTAAATATCTAACTTTGTTCTTGTAAAATAAACCATATTGTATTTAACTGTCTGTCCTTGGAGGATTGTAATATAAACTAGGTATAGTCTCATGCAAGGGCATATTATATACATGTATTCTAGATTACTTAACTTAGTGCAAATAGGTCACCACTAAACACTTCAAGAGAAAACATAGAGAGATGGTTAATAAATGTAGGAGAATATGTTTCAGTGACCTCTTTTACTGTCCTATCTTTATCTAAGAACAAAATATCATAAAGCTGTTTTTCAATGGTGAGTAAAAATTAGCAAAAATCTAATTAATTTTCCAAAATCGCTCAATACAAGCTCTGACCATTTCAAAAATGAATTTGACATTGCAAGAAAAGCAACCTTTCTATTGGTCATCTTAACTGAGTGATTACTATATATATCAACCAATCATATCTTAGCATTTTAAAATCATCTCCCTCATCGGTTGAAATTGTATGACAAAATTGTCAGCTGATCATTTTAGCCAATCAGATGCCTGCACTGTCAAAATTTTTACATTCAATCAGTTTGAAATTTACTGAGGCCACCAACATGTTCTCCTACAATCAATAGTTCCAGTTCCTCTATCACCATGGCAACCTCGATGTTCTTACCTAGTATAGCTACAACTATATCATCTTTGAGTATCTCTATGGAACCTCGGGAAACAAAGTACAATGCTGTCAGGATATCCCCCCTATGTACCAATGTGTCCCCAGGTGGGACATGGGTCGTTTTGAACTTCATTGACAAAGCTCTTAAACACCCAGGACTTGCTCCTGTAAAAAAAATATATTGATAAATGCATGTACTTTAAGAAAAAAAAACTTTTTTTCTCCACTTGTTAAGGTGGCATAAACACATAAACATAACAGACATATTTCATAACAAAACCCTATTGCCTCAGTCTGACTGCACACTTTCTTGGACAAAAATTTGGCAATGCCAAACTAACTCTTAATCAAATTTGTCATGTACTTTCAAAGATTACTTAGAAGATACTCAACAGTTTAAGCTGGCAAATATGAAACATTTAACAAAATTTATCACTTCTAACTTACAAATCAAACATAAATAATTATGCAATTTTTAAAATTTAAGCCTTTGTTATCTTTTAAAATGCACATAACAATCAAATAGGGACACTTGAACCCAAATGACTAAGCAAACTACAGGATCCCTGTTTGAAAAGAAAAACATCTGCGCAAAACCATCCATCCTCCCATCATTAGTACAGTGTTGAGTGAATATTGGTAACAATATATGCCAAAATTCTTCCTAGCATATCTAAAAAGGAGCCTTGCTTAAGTTCCAATTTTAAAATTTCTGTTTTCATGTCACAATCACACTGTAAAAGGTCATACAGTGCATTTCAAGCTTTATTGGTAGAGGAAGACCTTAGGTAGCACATTTAAAGGTCAAGGTCATAACAAGGTCACAACAAGAGCTATTTGAGGGACAAGATGACACTTGAGTAAAACCACTAATATTTTTTTTACATAGCTTAACCCTTTCGCTGCCGGAGGGTTATTGTTTTATTGATCACCTATTTGCCAGAGGGTTTTCTAAAAAATTACTATATTATTAATTAATATAATTAGTATTATTATTTGTTATTAGTATTATAATAATTATATATGTTTCCAAATATGCTAGTATAATAATAATTATTGTTGACGGTATAATTTTCTTTATATTTATTATTATTTTTATTATCTTTATTAATTTATTATTATTATTATGATTATTATAGAAACGGCTAAAGCCGTCCATATGGCAAATACGCCGAAAATAACAGGGACGGCTTAAGCCGTCCATATGGCAGTGAAAGGGTTAATCGTTTCCTCTATTGTAATAATTCAAAATTTTGATGGGATATCATAGGATTTGAAACACTACTTGACCATTATGGCTCCTACAAATCAAGGCAATAAAACAAATCTACAAACCTCTGAATGCTGAACAATTACTGAGTAAAGTTCTATTTAAATGAAAACATATATCTGCCTGCAAACATTCTGGAAAACTCTTTAATACCTGAAAAAGTAATGAAATAATAGTTATTTCAGTAAAGCAATACATAATAATGTGCAAGGTTATGAATTCATTATAAAGATATGTTATTGGTTATATGACCTTGTACAAATTGTTGTTTGTTATATAAACATTGCCTAGTGGCTTGGGTAATATAAACACAACTGTTTATATAATGGTCATAAAACCTGGCAAAAGTCTCTATCAATTACAAAATAAAGTATTTCATCAGGCTAATTTTACACTTGAGACTTAAATTTTCTTCATACATTTTTTCTTTTTCTAATCTTAATACAAACTATATTATATCAAAGAAGTACATTTAAATTTTCAAATGTAATAAAACCCTTGGGAATATACCAAATTCTGGCAACTAATAAAAATTGAACACATTTTAAACAAAACCATCTTGTTATTATTCTTTTCAGAAATTTAACTGTCATAAAAAACATCAAAAAGCAATGAAAGAGTGACAATACTCTAGTACCGATGTTTTTTTTATCTGTCATCAGAAATATTCAGGAGAAATCTGATATGCTAATATCATATATCAACTGATGCCCGTGACAGTTAAAGACTGTCCTCTTCAGTAATTATCCTATACACCGCAGATTCTTCAGCATGCAAAACTTCAATTTGTTGTAATTTGCCGTAAAACTTGAGGACTTTTTTGCTGTCTAGGTATTAATGGGCTAATAGAGATTTGGTGAGGACATTTAGTCACGACGTTATGTGACATCATATGGGACCTGACACAGACATTCACAAATCTAATCAAATATAAAATGTTTCCCCATCACCATGGTAACGGATTCGTGGAAATACTCTAAATGGTATACACTGGTATATTAGAACTGACATGTGAATTTTTCAACTCAGAAGAGAAGTTAATTTGTAATTTGCCATGGTTAAACATGCGAAATTCCTTATATGGACTGGCCCATCATTTAATTTGGTCAAAACCATTTATTATTTTTAGAGAAAATTTCATTATATGTGCTCACTTGAATAGAAAACAGTGCAGATGAAGATCTAGGGACAGACAGCTTCCATCACTGGTTGATTGGTATATAAACAACACTTTGTGATGTTATTTTTCCCCCCCCCCCTATATTTTACAGGCAACTAAAAGTTGTTTCCCCGAGCCCTAAAATAGGGCTATATATTACCCTAAAAATGCTGTATTTCCCGCTGAAATGCCCTGTGCACATTTTCCCCCAGAACCATGACTTAACAGCAGCTGACTTAAATCAGCTAGTTGATAAATCTAATTGACTAAAAGACTGTCCCTATGGATAGCCTCCACTCTGTACTATGAATGTTAAATTGAATTGAAATTGAATTTTTTATAAAATGTGTGGGTAAATTACATATATAGTTGTTGGAATTTGATTTCAGGTTACCCCCTTTTTTATTTAGTGTACACTATATATTCCCCTTTAGAAAGTCACAGGTTGTTTTGGAATTACAAAAAAAAATCATTGAATAGAAACTTTAAATATTCAATTAACAGATATTTATTCATTCAAGTATATTTATAAAGGACAGTTTAATAATATGAGCCGCGTCATGACAAAACCAACATAATGCGTTTGCGACCAGCATGGATCCAGACCAGCCTGCGCATCTGCGCAGTCTGATCAGGATACATACTGTTCGCTTACCAACTCTATTACAAGTACAGAAACTGATAGCGAACAGAATGGATCCTGATCAGACTGCGCTGATGTGCAGGCTGGTCTGGATCCAAGCTGGTCGCAAACGCATAATGTTGGTTTTGTCGTGACGCGGCTCATATTTACCATATTCATATCGATGCCGTTGGTATACGACCACGCATGCTGGAAGTACTCCTCTAATCTCTGTCGTAGAGGGTTTGGAATCTGATGAAAACGTATAAATTCTTTAATACGTAACATCTGTGTGTGATACCGAGACGTCCCGGAGTAAAGGCGCTGTATTATTGCACTAACGTTACCAAAGATACTGGCGTACATCAGAGCTGTAGGAACAAACATAGTATGAAGTAAAAATGTTACAACTTTTATGTTTGACGTAACAAACATATTCAACAATAATATAAACTACTTTTGAATTGATACTAAATATAAAACTTTTTTACCTTACCGTAATATAAATTATGATGTTATTCATTGTGAAATATATTTGTGTTAGATACAGCATAAGCAACAAAATGTGTAGGTAAAACATGAAATAAATGCCCCCATTCCAAATCTTTTGAGAAATAATAGTTTTTGTGAAATCTCCCTTTTAAAGCTATATTGTGTCCAGACATTGTGTGAACAAGTTTAAAGTTCTCTGCAAGAATGCATTAAAACAGTATTTGGCCAAGTTTAATTGTCTGCAAGGAAGACCTCAGGTGCCCTTCTGTGCATTTTTTCAGGCACGGAACCCCACCCGAGAAGAACCACTGACTTCAATAAGCTAGCTGGATAGCTTCCTCACATGAAAGAATCCTAAGTTTTAATGGGATTTGAACCTACAGCAGTGAGGGGCAAGTGGTTTGAAGTCAATGGCTTTAACCATTCGGCCACGGATGCCCTTAGAGATAATTTCAATATCTCTCAAATTATTTAACTTGTGTTACATTTTCAATAACTCAATTCTCAGTGAAATATATTCTGTATAACTCACAATATTTATATATATCAAGGTCAATGATTCAGTGAGATATACTATCATAATTATAATCAATCAAAGCACAGAAGGCGCTGAATTTGTTTGGGTCTCAGAATGTCAGAAAGTTGAAGGTTGTGAGATTATAAACCAATTTGTTTTTGTATAGTGCCACCAATGCTTTCCAGCGTTTTAATTGTAGTAAATTGGCTACAAGACTAATTGCAACAAAGATATTCAATTCAATGTTTATTTGACTTAAACAATTTGAAAAAAAGTTGCCTTAACTAGACTTTGAACTGCAGACCTCTCGCTTCCTAAGCGAGCGTGCAAACCCCTCGGCCACGGTGAAGTTATATGCTTACGGCCTTAAGAAAACCATATTATTCTAAATTAGGGTTTGTAACCCTTATTATTTCGACGCTAAACCTGTTGTTTAACACAGATGTAAATAATCATGAAGCTTACTATAAGCATTATTATCTATAAAGAATAAAACAATATTAGAAACCTTCGACCATTTGGGAACTATTTTGCTTGAAAATTAATGCGCCTGTCATTTGACCATCTTAACCCAGTGATCTCCCCTGATTGTATCAGCGTTAGTGTACATATAAAGGGAAGTAACCGCTTCAAAAAAGCGCACTACTTTCGGCATTTGGAATTAACAGCATCAGAGTCTGAAATTTCGCTACCATTATTTGTTTGGTCTGACGACCCAAACAAATAAAAACTTACAAAGTCATAGCGTGTATATTAAAGGAAATTTTTTATCTTTTACAATAGTCTTCAAAAATAATTTAAACTTATATTCTTTAATTGAGCAAACTGGAAGTAAAATATACTTATTCAATTCACTCAGATACTTGTTTCCTAGCATTTGAAACAGATTTTCTACAGATAATCTATAATTCCTTCAGGTGATTTCATACAGATCTTAGAATTTCAATGTGACTGCCAATAGATTTATTACAGATTCTAGCTAAATTATTATCAAACATTAGTTTGTCTCAATGGGCAATTTCGAATATTATTAGCTATTGCCAAAAGCATTCGGAACCAACAATATCGGAAACAAATAAATGATGTGCATGTTCAGGGAATACAGAAGGCGTGTGCAATGTCATTTTCAAACATACTATGAGAATTGAGATATTTCTTGGTTTATAATCTTATTAAGGAATGGCCAAGTCCAGACATAAAATGCCATTTCTTGATTAATAACTTTTGACTGTCTGGAATTGTAGTACATTCTAATCAAAATAAGTTTCGTTTAAAATAAAGTCTTGGATGGTTCTTAAGTACAGCTAGAGCTGTCATTGATTCAGTGCAAAGTATATCAACGATAATTCATATTGGATGACAAATATCGGCGTTACACCAATATATGTATAAATATCGTCGATACACAGTTAAATATTGTAATACACTGATAAATATTGGCAATACACCGATTTACAGATAAATATCAGCGATATATAGATATACTTATAAGAGTCTTATAATACCTTGTCTATAATTACATTTCATACCTATTTACATGATTTCTGTAAAAATATAATTATTCTATTCATACCATTAGGACATGTCTTGTTCATAAATACGAATTGCATTTTTTTCTTCTAACTGCTATGAAATATGTCCATTAACAACAGCACAGTTCTAGATTGGACAACTATTTCTGTATCATTATGCTTTGGGTGAATTTTCTTAATTACTAGACATTTAATTCAATTATAGATTTTTTTCAAATGTGTATTGATAATGGACAGAAAATATTGATGATGCATGACAGCTCTTTATTTTGTCAGTTTATAAAATCTTTGCAATTTAATGGGCTGCAATTTACATAATATTCCTAAAATAGCATCTTCAGGATGACCTTAAGATGATGTGAGGTACAGTATTGTTTCCATTTAATGCAAACAACTAGACCATTAGGCCACTGTGCCTCTTTCATTGATAATGAAATTCCTTTAAATTGCAATGGGCACTTCCAAATTAAAACATTGCCTTCCATCTACATAAATTTAATTGGGTATTCATAATTAAAAGAATTATCATGTATGTTATATTGTTTTAGAAAATATGAATAAAACAGTTTGTAGAAACTTACATCCAATCAGCATGATCAGTATACTGAAGATCTTTTCCGAGTTAGTATTAGGTGACACATTTCCGAACCCCACACTTGTTAAACTACTAAACGTAAAATAGAGTGCCGTTACGTATTTTGACTTCATTGTCGGTCCACCGTATGTATCGTTTATATACGACTGGTCTGTCTGTCTGGCTAACTCGTCAAGCCAGCCAATCTTTGGAGGAGATAAATGAGGTCTTTCGTAATTGCCTATAGCGTACCATATACATGCCAACCAATGAGCAATGAGAGCAAAGGTTGCCATTAGCAACAGCAACATGGCTGCCCCATATTCAGAGTATCTGTCAAGTTTCCTAGCAACCCTCACCAACCGTAACAATCTTGCTGTTTTTAACAGTCCAATCAAAGTGGTTGTCTGAAATGAAAATAAATTTGATCAAAAATCTGTTTAAAAATGTTGATTTACAATTAAAATTTTCAAACAGAACACTTCAAATATTTCAAATACACAAAATATCACTTGTTCAATTCAAATGCAAAGAGAGATTGCAATTTTCTCTTTGTAGTTTTAATTGCTTTTGAATCTATTGGCAACTACATTGTAAATATACAATGAATATATTGAGCACATTTCAAGGCGTTTGTTTTAACTAAACAGTAGTAATGTTCCATGATTACTTGTCAAACCACACACTCTTCACAAGCTTCTGGTCTCAATTCTTAATTACAAGTTTAGAATTACTATTTCATTTACAAAGTATAGCCAAAGACTGTACTACTGGTGATTGTAGGCCAGGGGGTAGATGAAGCACCAATGGGAACTATAATTACAAGTATGCCGCTGTCAGGAGAGATGTACACTGTCGAGAGAAATGTACGAAAAATGTACGACTGGTAAACTATGTAATTATCCTGTTTGAAACAGTATCTCTGCCAGATTCTGTTGGTAACATGTTATTAAGACAAGACGGACATTACAGAATTCCTCCCTTAATTTCTTCACTTGAATTTAAAGCAATCTCTTCCGCTTCCAAATTCAAAAAAAAGTATAACAAAAGTGGTACTGTTTAAAAGTACTTTGTCTTTAAGATAAATCTACTTTGAATGATGGAAGACTTTTTTTGCAAAGCTTTTAGGACTAAAGCAATTTGGTTTTTCTGCACTTTAACAGGTGTTTTTGGTCTGATCTTGGGGGGACGATACAATAACCAGCTTTCCTGGATAGTTAACCAGTAATTACTGGAAGTGACATAAAACACTAATCCAACGTGATTTCTGAATTAGCGATGGAAGACAAATGACCATTAGACTCAATGTCAGAGATCAATTTGGCACAGAGAAATTACACCTCGCTTGAGGTTCGGACCAGCAACATTGATGCACTCCCCATTTAGCTAAATGGGTCAACACAATGTATCATCTGGCATAAAATTCAAAAGCCTATCAAATATACTTTATGAATATCGCTCCAACAGACCAATTTAACATTTTTTATAACTTGTGGAACAGTCATAATATACCAATATAGATTTTAATTTCTTGGTCTATAGGTCTTTATTTCACTACCATTGATGATTGTGTGTAAACAAGTAAAATAGGGCAAAAAAGTAAGCTACATCAATATTTGGTGTCAAGACGAGATTCTTTTTTTTCAGATTTATTTTTTTTTTTATGGTGGTACTTTGATAGAGAAAAAAGCCAATTACATGAACAACATCAATTAGTAATGTCCATCCAAAAATTTTGATTTTTTTTTTCATTAAAAAGATTAATGGTATTGTCCAGATTGAAAGATGGACAAGTTCATTCAAGATACTTTGCAAGGTAAGGGTTGAGTACAATATTTAAGCATGGTTCAGTCTCCAAGATTAGTTATGTTTGTTTGTTTGTTTTGGGTTTTACGTCACATCGACACAGTATAGGTCATATCGCGACGTTCCAGCTTTATTGGTGGAGGAAGACCTCAGGTGCCCGTCCGTGCATTATTTCAGGCAAGAACGGGCACCTGAGAAGATTAGTTATGATTATTCACTTGGTTTATGAACAAATTGTTTATTTTATAAAAGTATTTTATCTGTCAGGGTTACAACGGCATATAATTTACATGGCAGACCAAATCTATGTTAACAACATTCAGCCAGCTGAATATGCAGCATACCATGTTTGATGATGATATATCAATTGGTTAGTGTCTTTAGTTCTAGCTACTTCTAGAATCTTCTTATTTGATTTGGTTAATGGCACACAAATACAATCTAGGCCATATGGCGCCGAAACAGGAAAGATAATTTTGGCAAGCCTCAGGTGTTACAAACTTAAAGCAACACCAGGGGTCAAAACCACCTCACCTGCTGAAGCAAGAGATGCATTGACTCCTTTCATTAAAACCCATTTAGTTGCCTCTTACAATAACGCAGGAATAAATGGTGGCTGCAATTCTGATGCCTCAACCCTTAAAGATTAAAGAGAACCCCTAAGCCACAAGGGGGCTACTCCTAAAAGGACCCATCATATTCATTCCGACAAATTTGACAGAGGAACATTTACAAAGGATGCTGATGATCAATCCAATCATTTAAAAGATGATTTTTTTTCATATTTTAGCTCCAATTATCAACCAATAATTAAGATTAAAGTTTCATTCCTTTTCCCAGTGTAACTATGGGTCAAATTACCAGACCAATTCCCAATGGCAAATAGGCTTACGTTTTTGAATCTTTAAAAAATTTCCCATTCGAAATGAAGTTCAAATTTGAATGTATTTTTATGCTTTGAAAGATATCTGCATTGGATGGAATAAACATTTTTGCACAAAAAATACTATGCAAAAAGAGCATGAAGGAGGTTTCAAAATGTACCAAATATTTTTCCGAATTAAGCAACTTTACGATGTAAAATTTCCCAAACATGGCAAGATACATTTTTCCAAAACAGCTAGGAAAAGGCCTGACAGTATAAATGAGACCAGTGCTTTCACAGGCCATCATTGTTGCTGACGCAAAAACATAAACACCATTATACCAATAATTACACGACCCTGAATCTTTTAATTATATTGAGCTGACAAAACGCAGAATATTTCCTACTACCGAGTTTTGTAAAAAGGAACACTACCATCTTTGCTAATTAAATACAACAGTCTCTACAGTGGATTCTCCTGACATAATCCATTACAAAAAAAACTTTCTTTAACAAAAAATTAACACGGTTTATCAATAATTCCAACAACCCCGTTAATCATCAGCCTGTTTTTAAGTAAAAAAAAAAAATGATTGATCATTTCAAACGTTTTAAAGAAATTGATAGATTGCTTAAAAAAAACGTTCTCAAAATACTGATGGAGTTGTTAAATTTGTAGAAAGACGAGTGTAACAATATATCACGCAAACAATAGATGTTCTCGGCACTTCCAGTCAAACATTCGCAGGTTGTAACAAAGGGAGATAAATATGTAATGCCTGCTATTCATTACTATGGTCGTGTCAGGCGCTGTCAGAAAAGCTATTACCTAGCAAATATAAATCTAAAATCACACATTGAAAGATGATTCTATAGTACATTTTCTCACATTTCTATTTTGAAAGTTTTGTATGGCAATCAATCTCTTGATGATAATCAAGTATTTGAAGTTAGCTTTTATATTTAATGATATAATAAATCAAAGTGTAAATAATGGATATTCTAATCAAAGAATTCAATACTGGAGAGATTTAAACAAATCTATTTAAGCTCAAATGCGAAACAAGTTCTTGCAACTTATATTAATCACTTTCCAGCTCCCCTCCTGGAACCAACCATTACTGTGTCATATAAAAAACATGCGTGACCTATTAGGGCTCAACACTGATCCTGGGTTGGAGGGAGACACTTTAAACATAGGCCACGTTTAACCCTAAACATATTTTAAAAATAACATTTACAAATTTTAAGTTGTCCATATGGCTTTCTTTTTAAAATTTTAAAAAAAGTTTTTATGGTCTTTTTTTAATTATAAAAGGTTTTTTTTTAAAAAACCTTTCATTGAAAAATAATCATTAATTTGCTTACCGTCTGTTTCAGATCCAAACAGAAGTAGGTCGAACGGAATGGCCGCAACTACGTCTATCAAGAACCAGCCTTTAAAGTAATGTATTGCAATTTTCCCAGGATGGCTCACTACTTCGTCATTTTTATTTACATATGTAGTTCGAAAATTTATCAAAATATCTATTATAAACATAACATCTACTAAAAGATCTGTGATTGTTAACGGGTCCTTGTATCTGTTTTTGTTCCTGTCTCGATGATTTTCGTTCAGCAGGAAAGCTGCCATGTACGGGGTAAATATAGCCGTGTATATCACTAATAGGAGAATTATCCAGTCCCACACCGCTTTGAACGGGGAGTAGTGTAGTATTGTACATTTGTGTATCCGTGGCGACTGAAGCTTGTATTCTGGAAGAACATCGGCTCCAAGTGATAATACCTGAAAATATATGATTCAAATTTAGTGACCTTCTTGGTAAAGTTTAATTTCTGTAGATATGAATAACAACATGAAAGTATGTCATCAAAGCCCTTCCTTCTGTCCCTTTTCAGTATGAATAACCTTTACTGTACAGGTTAGTATTCAAGCTGCAATTATTAAAAGCTTATATAATAAATTGTAATTATCAAAGTGACGTTTTATGAAAACATCGCACTCCTGCAATGGAGTGAAAAAAATTGCTCCAAGTGTGGGAAAAATTGCTCTCCATCACTCTATATATCTATAAAAGAAAGAAAATCATTAAAAATTGTAAATGTCAGACAAGACAAAGTCATCATGTAATACTTGGCGTGACCTATATTTACATTAATTTTAAGTAGAGATCTTTGTTTTTGACCACTTTTTGGGCTCTTTTGGTTCATTTTTAAAAACATTGTTAGGGAAATTACTTTAAATGGGTTTTCCTAACAATTTTTTGTAAATAATTTGTAATTTTTCTTTTCTTTAATTTTTTAATTGGATCATTAAACGGTTGGCCCATTACAAAAATTTTTTAAAGTGTGATAATCTTGCAAAAGGGGTGGAAAAAAAAAAGGAAAAGGAAACTTTTAGTAACTTAGGTTTTGAAAATTACAAAAATTTTTAAAGGTTAACAAAAAAACATTTAAATTGGAAATGACTATGAAAAAATTTTTTCCTTATATTGGCTAAATTTTTATATGAATTTAAAAAAGAAAAAAAATGCCTGATTCAATTGCTTGCAAAGTGTAAATAATGACATAACTTTTACGGAATAGAATCAAAACATACAGAAATCAGGCAATTCACAATTTACAGGAAGCTTCAAATACCATTTTGAATAATTGGAAATGATTACTTTAGCTTAAACTCTGTAGAAATAGTAATTTATTACATATAACCGGTAATACTTCTATGTCTGGTATATATCAATTACCTACTTGTAATAAAATAACTGCAAAGATTCAATGGTAAATCACACATTTTGGCTGATACAATTGGCAGATTAATGAAATTTCTTCCCTATGGGATACATTATGGGAAAAACATCCTCCATGAGCACTTGGTAATTTGTACCAAAATTATAGTTCAACATCACTTAAAGGAAGCCCACATTTACAAAGAGAAATTGTTAATCTATACAAAGTTATGGAATAGCATAGATAATTGGACTAGTGTGTTTGTGAAGAAAAATTGTTAGTTTACAATAAAATCATAGCATAAAGATAAAAAGAGTTATGTGTTCCTGGAAGTAATCAATGCCTCCCTTTAACTTTCCCTATCAAACCATCTTTCTTTTGTTATTACTGTACATATCTTAATAAGCACAGAACATTTTGATGTGCTCCTCAATATACATTAAATTTTAGCAAACCTGAGCAAAAATTCAGTTAAAGACAAGTAAGTGATAGTTACTGTATGTAGGAATAGATTTGGATAGTTTTTACAGGCCCTGATATAAATATTTGTTATGAGAGTTACAAAAATATATCAGTCCTTTTATTATTAGAAGTAGTCATTTTCCACATAAATTTGGTTCCATTCCTTGAACCAGCTAGTACTAAAAACAAGAGGGCCATGATGGCCCTGAGGTCGCTCACCTGTATATAGCCCCCCCCCCCCCCCGCCAATTTTTACCCAAGGGCTTTTATTTGTTTATTTGAAAAGACTTGGTAGACACCCATAAGAAGATGTTTCATGCTCAACATCTAAGTTCTAGCTCATTGGGTTTTTTAAAAGAAGATTTTTTAAGTTCTTACTATACACATATAGTTTAAAAAACAATGACACCCCTGGGGCAGGGCCAGTTTTGACCCCGGGCTTTTATTGAAACAAACTGTAGATATTTACTAAAAGATGTTTCAAATGCTCAATATCTAAACTCTAGCTATTTGGGTTTTTTCAAAAGAAGATTTTTAAGTTTTTGCTATACACCAAAAAAGGAAAATCAATGACCCCCGGGGCAGGGCCAATTTTGACCCCGGGCTTTTATTTGAACAAACTTTGTAGACACTGATTAGAAGATGTTTCATGCTTAAATATCTAAACTCTAGCTATATGGGTTTTTTTTCAAAGAAGATTTTTAAGTTTTTTGCCATACACATATAGGAAAAATCAATGACCCCCGGGGCGGGGCCAATTTTGACCCCAGGGCTTTTATTTGAACAAATTTGGTAGACACCCATTAGAACATGTTTCATGCTAAATATCTTAGCTCTAACTCTTTGGGTTTTTTAAAGAAGATTTTTTAAGTTTTTTACTATATGCATATAGGGAAAATCAATGACCTCCTGGGGCGGGGCCAATTTTGACCCCAGGGCTTTTATTTGAACAAACTTGGAAAGACACTCACTAGAAGATGTTTCATGCCAAATATCTTGCTCTAGCTCTTTGGTTCTTTAAAAGAAGATTTTTTAAGTTTTTTACTTATGCATATAGGGAAAATCTATGACCCCCTGGGGCAGGGCCAATTTTGACCCCAGGGCTTTTATTTGAACAAACTTGGTAGACACTCACTAGAAGATGTTTCATGCCAAATATCTTAGCTCTAGCTCTCTGGGTTCTTTAAAAGAAGATTTTTTAAGTTTTTACTATATGCATATTGGGAAAATCGGACGGACGCTGGACGAAAAGCGATCACAAAATTAAATTCTTTGAACAATAAAAAGTGAAAGGTTTCTTGCTCACGGAAACAATCACGGGCTTGCCCCTGACACCTGGTTTGAACCTACGTGGCCAGCAATCCTTAGATTACTAGTGTGAAGCATTAACCAATCAGCCATGCCACCACTCAAGTTTGATTTTTAGGCCAGAAGATTGCCTTGGTAACAAGAAACAGACAAGTATGCACAATAGAGAAAAGATGCTACATCAATGGTGCGGCGGTAAATTGCCATCCTAATCAAAATGATTTCTCATATCCCATGTAGTATGTTCAGAGTGAGAAAGTGTGAAGCATTCTTTAAGAGAAATACGGTACATCAAAAGAAACTGCTTACTCTCCTATCATAACTTCTTTAAAAAGAAACTCATAAACAATGAGCTATTTCCCTAAGGCAATAACTAATTTCATATACAGTAAAGCATTGGTTACATCTATTGTTTTAAATTTAAACAAAGTTTCAAAGCTTGGACATTTTCTTTTGTTTTGTGCATAGTGTTGATGTCCTAAATTACATTGAAAACATTTCATTACATTTCAAATGACAAACCATTACATCACCCAACCTTATGCCACACTACACTGCATTTTGAGGGTTGACAGAAAAACTGCAGTAACTTTTCTTATATGAAGTAAAGAAGGACTTTCAACAGTTTTGCAGTCGGGTCCCTCAATATAGAGCTATGTTATATGTATGTCAAAAGTAGATTTAACTTCCTAAAGTCAGAGCACTTATATTCTTAGGCTTAATATTAATGACAAAACAAAATTATTTTTTTTAAAGATATAAAAATTTACATTTTGATGCAAACCATGCACCTAACAAACGTAGCAATCCATATAAATTCACCTACCATAAAGTCTTCAATTACCTTACAAAGGTATATATATATGACCTCATGACATGTTATATAAAATGTGTGTAATACAAAAGAAAATATTTAACTGCTATTTTACAATAAAAAAAAAAACAATTTTAATAAAAAATGGTTTTAACTTTGTAAAAACAATACAAGAAATATAAATACCTTTCAGTTCCGGCTGGATGTCTTTGGGCCGATAATGGCTAGAACGATAAGGCTTCTTTAAAAATTTTTTTCATCGGCTTGTTTTCCTTCTTTCTTATGTTTATCAATTCACTAAGTCCCAGCTCACCCCGTTTTTTTCAAAATACTATAAACTCACTGAAATCCTGTTCTTCAACATTTTGAACATCAACTTTATCGAATTGTTAACATTTCAAAATTGAATCCATTCCAAGTAAACAGTTAATCTTGGAATAAAGGAAAAATCTTAAATCAAGGTCTTAAAATTTTATGTTTGTTCAAATAAAAATGTTTCTTTTTTTTTTCTGAGATTAATTCTTTAATGTTAAAGATTCCCATAATACTTTCTCTCTGTGGGGTAAAAATTGAAATATACATTAATTTTTCAGTGTAATAATTGACTGTAATTATTTTTATGCCTCATTATCAAATGTTAACACAACGAAAAAAATTCAACATAACTGATCATTGTTTCTTTGCTTAAAAAAAAACACACAGTCAAGAGTTGTGGAAATTATTCAGAAATCTTTCATGGCATGAAAGAACAATTTATTTTAAATAAAAAAAATCAATGTTCACTAAAATATTTTCAAGACCATATATCAAGATAGCAAAATCATTTCTCATTTTATTTCGAAGTAACACTGGTTTCCAGATATACTTTAATATTTACGTTTAACAGATGGGAACCAATTCATTGCACAGCAAAACATTTCAATCAAAACAAACACTCAAAATATTCCCACACAGAATAATTCTTAAACCAATCAAATGTTATATCCATTCACCAATCATGTAGATTTATTCTAATTTACAGTAAATGCTTTTAACCAATTATCGTCATGGTGATTTATTCATTGTATCAAATAAGAAAATTTACAACCGGATCATAAGAATTGTTTCATTTTGCATCTCAGCCTCATGTAAATATTTAACCGACCTTTCTGCTTCACTGTTTATACTTAAAAAAAAAACAACATTAAGGAAATTGTTCCGTATTTTTTGCTCTTTTTTTTCTCATTTGAAAGACAACATACTGCCTAGATTTACTGAAAAGTAAATAAACATAGCCAGTACAAAAAAACTGATTCAAAGCTAGTGTATTAATTTATTGGTTCACGCTCCAGGCATCAGTTCCCCAACAATCGCCAGAAAATAAAACCACAACACCTTACACAGGCCATGATAATTAACATACTGTAAATAATTAAAGAGTTTTATTCATTTAGCCATTTAAAATTCTGGCACATTAACGATTACCCCACCACCTACTCCAACATAACTTGTTCAGTCCATCCAAGAAATATCCATGATTTTTTTAACATATTTTTTTGGGTATTTTTTCGTCTTTTTAAGTTTTTGTTGTTTTTTTTTTTTAAAAAAGATAAAAATCTTTGCAGATGTTCATAGTATGGGCAACTTTAGTTTCAACAATTCTGTGAAGATTGTTTCATAGCATTGTAATAGAATATGGTAAATAAACATAAATTTGATTGATCGAACACTTTCATTTCTAGTTTGAGTAAATAGATAAAATTCTATGAATATAGGGTAAACACTGTTTCAAGCAGTAGAAATCAAACAGCAAGTTTTATTGACAATTTGATAATCAAATATTCAAGTTTACGTGAAAAATTATAAATTCCATTTAGAATTTCTTCCCGAAAAAAAAGCCTGCTTTAATTTCATGTCCCTATTTTTACGAAAAAAAATTAACTCCCTTTAACATAATTAATGGAGCGTTAAAAATCATGTGGCCAATTTTGTAAGAAAATTTACACTGACAGGAATCATAGTCATATTCGAAGCTACAATTTTTTTCTCAAATGGAATTATTTGATTATTAGATATATTAACCCCCTAAAGTCACATTCCACCTTGTACACCAGCACAAAGCACTCTCCTGGTACTGATAAAGGCACTCGGGTCAGTAACTGTGATGATTTCCCTCGTGGGTAACAAACTTATATATCCATTCAATATTTTTTCCTGAATATTTCAAATATAAAAATCACAACTGAAAACATAAGAAATCTGTTATACTTGACACAATATTTAACACCATTCTGATAGGATAAAGTCACACATTAAACATTCTAACTTCAAGGCACCACATACTAAAAGATTTAAATAATTTTTTTTTTTCAACTATCTTTGCTCAATCAAGCAGAGATCCGTTGACCATTAAAAAGATTTTAAATCATGGCCCATTTAAAAGTTGCCTGCATAAAACCTATGCTATTTCCTGACATATTCCAGAATAGATTATTCCTATTGTAGTCAATTCTGTCACACTATGGCCTTCACTGTTAACTCCATTATACAGCTCAATTAAAAACAAGAACTGGAACAGAGGTATATAATCACAGAAGCAAACTTTGGTCCGATTTTTTTACAGTGGAAATCATGATCTGCAGGAAAAAAACAAAATCTGCCATTTACCTATATAAGTCATGGGATTAAATCTGCTGAAGCTTAATACATAATTCCTCCAAAAATGTATAAAACTTTTAACAAGATTGTCATCTTGCAATAAAAACATGCTTAATCATTTTGAATCAAATCAACTATTTTCTTAAACTACTGACTCCTTTCAAAAGACTATTTATAAAACAGCTTTGTTTTTTTTCCTTTAAAGAAAAGTGTTTTTCAAAACTTTCCTTTTTTTTAAATACATGTATTTAAAAAAACTTATTTATTTCTTAACTATCCTGGATTAGAGCTTCAATTACTTTTTTGTATCCTTGATCTTTTTTATATATATAGCCTCAAAAACATTTTTGTCCTCTAAAATGAATATTGCTTCAAACTTTTTATCTCTATAAACGATATATATTGTCCTTCAAAAAAAACTTATTTAATCTCCGTTCATGAAGAGTATATTAATGAGTATTCAAAAACTTCTTTGCCCTTCTTTCATGGAGAGTTCATCATTTAAAAACATGTTTTTGTAACAGTAAAATTCAAATGTTCCAATTTTCAATCTTGAAATCCCCAACAGTCCTAAAAATTTTTGCAAGTACATCTTTAAAAATCCCACATGTCCTAGACAATTTTTGCATGTACATGTAATGCAAGCATATATCCAAGCACAGGAAAATTCAATCAAATAATGTGCAAGCAAAACCACTTAGCAACACACAATGGTTCTGGTACAAGGTTTTCAATCTTGATTGATGGCAATGCAGCGCAAACAAGCCTTTAATTAGTAAAAAATTAAATCTGTTACTGTCAGCTATAGTTATAAACTTTATTTTTGGAATCAAGTTACAATTAGAAAACATGAGTATGGTGGCTGATTTTGGATTCTGTTGTCGCTAGCAGACAGCACGACAAAGCCGCCAAATGGCTTGTTGTTGGGCTTAGCCCTGTCCGCTAATGATGCATGCCAAACAGCGCGTTGTCGCGATGTCAAATTTTTTGCTTCGCTCAAATCGAAGATTTGCTTATAAACCAAGCTACAATGAGCAGTTCAGCGTGCTTCGCTAAGAAAAGACACAAAAAAGCGAGCATTTGGGCGGCATTTCGCTAGCAACAAGACGAAAAGGTAAATAATGATATACTATAGGTTATGTTATAGCTATCGACATCGCAACACGCAAAGTGTACCAAATCAGCAACCATATGAGTACTTTATAATGTCTGTGCCTGACCATTCTTTAGGTGTTTAGAAATTTCTTTTCTTTTTCTTTTTTGGGGGGAAGGTGGGGGAGGGGATAAAAGGGGTGCTGGCACTCGTCAGAGCGCACACTACAGTAAACTCCGCTTATAACGAACTCGCTGGGACATTCAAAACCTGTTCCTTATATCCGGAGTTCCTTGTAAGCATATAGCGAATTAGTTCGTTGTATCAGGAGTTTTTATAGCGAACAGATTTACATATAACGAACTGATTGTTTACCATTGTCCGCCATTTTTGAAGAGAATTTGATTAAGAAATAGAAATATTAGTCATATATTTATATTTTAGACACACTACCGGAGAGCATACTTTTTTGGAATTCGAAAATTCATTGCTATTTCAGTTTAGTTTTACTCCTTATCTCAATTTCAATAAAAATATAATATTTTGTTTCTAAAACTATTTTCGTTTTCTTTCCATGATTGAGAATAAACAAGAATTTTTTCGATTTTTCCTTCTTTTAATATTGAATATCTTCTCTTATAAATTTAAGGGTGACTTTTACTAATGTAAGATAATAGATTTATTTTCATTTAAATTAAGCGTACTTTGCAGTTTGCAATGGATCATGCTTGCAAGCATGCATGATTAATGTTGAAAACCGATTATAAATTATTATAATTATTTTACTCGAGCAAAACTATTGAAGAAAATAAATGAATAACCGTTTTATCTTGGTGAAAACAGCTCATGCTAAAAATATCCAAAATAGAAAACTATACAAATTCATTTGAATAGATGTATTGAAGTACATACAACGATAAACAGTATATTCGCCCGAGTTTTAATCCGTGCGATCTATTTACGGATAGCCAATATTTTGGAGTTTGTTATAAAAGTGTAATTTTCTGTACTTTTAACTAAATTGGGACTAAGAAATGAGTTCCTTATAAGCGATAATTCCTTATAACCGTGTTCGCTATAACCATATATTTTTATATTAAATAAAGAAGGCCAAAATTCGGGCCAAAATAAATTGTTCCCTATAACCGGAAGTTCGCTATAACCGTGTTCGCTTTAAGTGAAGTTTACTGTATAATAAATAACAAATTTGTGAAATTGTGACGTTTACTTTGCTGTCGTTACCAAGACAACCTTTACATCATCAAAATCAGAATACTCATTTGCAAAAAGTCCATTAATGCCCTACTTTCAGATGGCCAGCCTGTCTGTACTTCTGATTTTTTAATCCATATAAATCAGATAAAAAAAGTTGTTCAATATGCTAACTGGCATGGGTCACCCCATTAAAAACAAGGATAATTTTAAGGCTGGCCCTATTTCTTTCTACTTTCCACTGACTTTTTATATTGATCAATATTTACACTCATGAAAAACACAAATTTCTTTCGCCAAATTAACAATTGTTCCTTCAGATAAAAAATGCACTCAACTTGAAAGAAATTAATTACTAGGTACCTTAGTAGCTCTAATCATGTGGGGAAAGTTTTTCAAGCTAATTTCAGATTGAAGTATCATAATTTTCTATTGATATCAGATCATTCAAATATTAAAGTGAATTGCTGGCAGACAACTGGAAATTTGAATACGCAAGTGACAATACTGTCTCGGCTATGTCCCCAGTACAGAGCCTCTGCAAGTCTAAATAAATTTACTGTTAGGGGTTCAAATTTCTTTTATTTAATAATTCAATCCCTCAAACATTGATTGTTGACAGTTTAGATTTCAAAGCAGACTTAGAACCAGTATATAAGTAATATAAGGAGCATGAAAACACGAGGCTATCTGATTTGTACGAGGGGGCGTAGTCCCAATGTATAAATCAGATTGCCGAGTGTTTTGATGTTCTTTCTACACACTGGTGGCATATGACTCTTCACCAGTGGCATGTCTCCACACCAGTCTTGTGGCAAATGCTCCACACTGTTTGCATATGATTCCACAATGGTACCATCTGACTCCTAACTGGTGGCATGTCCCCACACTGGTGGCATATGTTCCACACTCAGTCTGGTGGCATGTGACTCTACACTAGTGGCATGTCTCCACACGGGTGGAATATGGCCCTATACTGTTGGTATAATAAGCTCCACACTGGTGGCATGTCTCCACTCTGGTGGCATATGGCCCTATACTGTTGGTATAGTAAGCTCTACACTAGTGGCATGTCTCCACTCCGGTGGCATATGGCCCTATACTGTTGGTATAATAAGCTCCACACTGGTGCATGTCTCCACTCTGGTGGCATATGGCCCTTACACTGGTGGCATGTCTCCACTCTGGTGGCATATGGCCCTATATACTGTTGGTATAAATAAGCTCTACACTGGTGGCATGTCTCCACTCTGTGGCATATGGCCCTATACTGTTGGTATAATAAGCTCTACACTAGTGGCATGTCTCCACTCTGGTGGCATATGGCCCTATACTGTTGGTACAAATAAGCTCCACACTGGTGGCAATGTCTCCACTCTGGTGGCATATGGCCCTATACTGTTGGTATAATAAGCTCCACACTGGTGGCATGTCTCCACTCTGGTGGCATATGGCCCTATACTGTTGGTATAATAAGCTCCACACTGGTGGCATGTCTCCACAACTGGTGGCATATGGCCCTATACTGTTGGTATAATAACTCTACACTAGGGGCATGTCCTCCACTCTGGTGGCATATGGCCCTATACTGTTGGTATAATAAGCTCTACACTAGTGGCATGTCTCCACTCTGGTTGGCATATGGCCCTATACTGTTGGTATAATAAGCTCTACACTGGTGGCATGTCTCCACTCTGGTGGCATATGGCCCTATACTGTTGGTATAATAAGCTCTACACTAGTGGCATGTCTCCACTCTGGTGGCATATGGCCCTATACTGTTGGTATAATAAGCTCTACACTGGTGGCATGTCTCCACTCTGGTGGCATATGGCCCTATACTGTTGTATAATAAGCTCCACACTGGTGGCATGTCTCCACTCTGGTGGCATATGGCCCTATACTGTTGGTATAATAAGCTCCACACTGGTGGCATATCTCCACTCTGGTGGCATATGGCCCTATACTGTTGGTATAATAAGCTCCACACTGGTGGCATATCTCCACTCTGGTGGCATATGGCCCTATACTGTTGGTATGATAAGCTCCAACACTGGTGGCATATCTCCACTCTGGTGGCATATGGCCCTATACTGTTGGTATAATAAGCTCCACACTGGTGGCATATCTCCACTCTGGTGGCATATGGCCCTATACTGTTGGTATAATAAGCTCCACACTGGTGGCATATCTCCACTCTGGTGGCATATGGCCCTATACTGTTGGTATAATAAGCTCCACACTGGTGGCATATCTCCACAATGATTGCATATGACATTGCTAGGAGTTATGAGAGTTAAAACAGCAGATTTAGAAAGACAAAGTGTTATTGTAATATCTTGATGGTATTTCAATATGTTATGTTAAATTTCTTTATTCTTATCAGACATCCACCTAAAATCCATCCTTTGGGAAACAACAAAACAAAATTACTTTATACCATTTTAAGTAGAACTGACTATCAAGCCAAGTTTCTGCAGTGTTAATTTAATTTATTTCAGGAGTTTTAATTTCAAGACGAAAAAAAAAGGATATGTGGACTTCATATCACCATCAATGCCAAACTGTGAACATGTATTGCAAAACAAGCCAAGAGATAGGGGA